AGTCATTAAGGCAGGACTCTAAAATCTTGCTTGGTAAGCTGAGGATAGAGAGAGGGCATAGTTTCCTCTGTCCATTTTGTCATATTTTTCGTGTACTGTCAGTGGTTCTCCTGTTTTCTTTTCCAGGGGGAAGGTGTCTACCTTGAAGCTTGAAGTAAACAGAGGTGTGAATGTGGATACAACAGTTTCTCCTAGCAACTCAATTGACCTTTAGGCGATTTCATCTGGGCCACTTGCTTTGTTCATTTTCAAGTTGGTGTGCATGTTGAGTTGTCCACTGCACCAGTTTTGATTTTTAGTGCCAGTAACTGTTTTGTTAGATATGTGCCAATGGAAGAAAAGAAGCCATTCATCATATCAGCCTTTTCCATTTTGCAAACGGCAAGGCTTCAGTTATTATGTTCAAGGGGCTCAGATTGTTTTATAGCATTTTGACAAATTTGTTGTGTTTTTCATGAGTCACCGGTAGGCGCTTAAAGTTTTGACTTTGTCAACTTTACTTCTGAGGTACTCCACTTTTGCTCTCCTTACATTAACTGTGGTCCTATTTGGGATGGATTTACATTCTCGCCATAGTTGAGGGTGCTTAATGATGCCCGAGTTCAGCTAAGGATGGCGTGGGATTGTTAAGTACGGCTAAGGATGGCGGATTGTACTTCAAATTTATAAATTCAAAGAAATATGAAATTAGACTCGGCAGAAATGTTGTTGTTGAATAGTACTAACAAATAATTGAACTTAAACTTTTAAAAGTATACATAAAGTACAGTCAAATTTTGTTCTTTCCTGTTATTCCTGGGTACATTGGAAATATTGGCAACCTGTCAGTGGCCTGCTTGTTATCTGGGAAGAGAACCGATGTCTATATTTGAGCAAACCATTTATTTGATCATTTGGAGAAAATTTTATCTAGGTCGCTCAGAATAATTATACTTAGTGGTTTGGAAAACCCCCTGCTCTGATTCGAAAAATGTTTGCATGCTTTTGACATTTATTCAATCACAACTGCAGATGGTTTACTGGTTCTAGGTAGCTAGGTAATGGGTCTAACTGCCCGACAGCTTCTGCCTCAATCACATGAAGAAACGGTTTTGACAATTCGACAGCCTCTACCTCAATCGCATCCTGAAATATGGAAAAAGAAAAAGCTATCTTTTTGGCCCTGGTTGTTAGAATCACTCCTGTTGAGAATTGGCGGACTCGCCGTGACCTTCTTTAAGTGTGAAGCCTATTTAATTGGAGCATGAGTTAAGCGAGAAAGAAGAATCTAAACCACTGCCCACCGTGAAGTGCAAAATATTGAATCCGAAAGCGCCCGAATGGCCTCAACCCCCAGGTATTAGCTCTTTTTATGGGGTGTAGCCAATTATTTCTGATGTAATTCCCAACGCGAGTGGAAGTAACTTCACCGACAAGGTTAAATTGCAAGAACAGCAGAGAGCACTGCCGCTGCAACAGACCAGGATTATCGAAATGCTAGCTGCTAACCAAAGCAAGAGCAGACTTCCTCAGCCTCGTGTTTCCACGTTCGACGGGGATGCTGTGGAGTATCGCACATTTTTTCCGGCCCTTTGAGTTTTTGATCGAGTCTAAGACATCGAGCAGTACCGAGGGGCTCTATTATTGAGAACAATATACTTGTGGGGACGTCAAGGGATTTGTGCATTCACGTCATCATTTGCCACCCGATCTAGGGCAACTGGAGGCTCGTCGGTTGTTGAAAAAGGAGTTCGGAGATGAGTAACAATTCGTGTCCGCGTACAAGTCTAATAAAGCCTTAAATTGGCCGGCCATCAAAGTAAAGGATGGCGTAGTCCTTGGCCGATTTTCCGTCTTCCTCGCGAGCGGTAAGAATACAATGGAGGGCAGTCAATACTCGTCCAAGTTTGATCAACCGGACAATATTCAGAAGCTGATATTCAAGCTACCTTACAACATGAGGGAAAGATGGCGTCGTGTGGTCGACGATATCATGGAGCTTCAAAGGAGGCCTGTAAAGTTTGACGACGTTGCCACGTTTATTGACCGAGAAACCAGGATAGCCAGTCTTCGGAAAGATCTTGGAGAGCTCGAAAATGGTTACGGACACCCGGTATGGCAAGGGAGCACAGACGACCGCGCCCAAGAGTTTCGTCGCTAATTTGGATGGTGACCTTGGTCCCAATCCAGAACCGAACATGTACATTAATGTCAACACCTCCTACGAAGAGCCTGCCGCCGCATCGATAATCGGCTCGTGCCCTTCTGTAACTTAAAGCATGCACTCGAGCATTGTAAATCACAAAAGAGTTGCCCTTATCAGGAGCGTATTCAGTTTCTAGCGTCAAGAGGACCTTGTTTTTGATGTTTGTCCCATAAACATGTCGCAAAGGACTGCACCCAAAGTAAATCGTGCTAGATATACAGGAGCTCTCCAAAGTGAGACCCAGCAACCTACCTCTCCATTTCCTTTCCGTAAACGATCATTTATATCCTGCAAAGGACATTGCTGTCCTGATTTCTGAACAGAAAACAATCATAATTGAAGTAGCAAACATATAATCATCACAGGTAGCAATTTTACATACAAATCTTCAACAGTACCAGCTGCTAAAACCACTTAAGAGAAATTTCAAACCATTAAGAGTTGTCACCACTCTAAAAATTACTTTAAATAATTTGGCCACCAGAATGAATCAAACTGACAGAAAGAAGGAGGCGCAGCACTGGCAGTGTGGGCTTTTGTATCCATGATAACCGTCACGAATATGGACCACGCTCTAGACAATCTAAGAGGAAAATTAGGTAAAATGTATAGCCACTGTAGTCTGTACATTAGGTGTGGTCAATTCAATTCCCGTAGTTTGGTTTAGTTCAGTTCAGTTAACGTTGCTATTGCTTGGCTTAATTAGGTGTAGCAAAGTTTGTTTGCAACCCTTCGTGTAGTTTTTTTAAAAAGTGTTATTTGGCTCTCACGGCCAACGGTTAAAATTATGGCCATTTTACGGCTATCGGTTAATTTATTTCCGTTGCGATTAAAAGAAAAATGTTTACGGTTGCTTTTTTTTACGTCTAACAGTTGAAATTGGCCAATTGTTACGCCTGACAGCTATTTTTTCTTTTTTTGCAGTTTTATGCAAACGGTTAAACTCATGTAGAACCTCAAACATGTCGTAAGAATAGATTCATTGGCGGAAGAGAATTTAACACCCAGAGCCGAGACTCCTAAGGTGGAAAGTGAAGTAGTGGAAGTTATCAAAGGAAGTATCATTTAGAAATCAAATGAAACGTGCCAGGTAACGTTTTGAGCACCTTAAGCTGCCTCTAATTTGATGGACTGTAATAGTGACTGTCAAAGTTGGACGATTTGAAGAATTTGCCAAAACAATTGTCGAACGATTATCATACATTTTTAAAGAAGAGTGGCATAGAACCAGGAAAAAGTCTTGTTATCAAATAAGTTTTAACGTTCCCGATGACCACCGAAATTGAGAAACACAAATATTCGCATATTTAATTGGGTAATATCCGCACAGTTTTTTAAATAATTTGTCCCGTAAAATAAGGCGATTTAACAATTTTTCCTTGAATACATTTATCGAAGGGAGTGTTATGGCACAATGAAAAAAATAGGAATCGATGTTTAGGGACTGTTCATCGATTCTCAATGTTTTCAGAAAGACCTTACTAGGGGCCCTCAGCAGTTCGTGGCTTTTCCAATGCCGGTCAACCAGACATCAAGACAATTCTTGTAAGCGATTTCTTCTTGATAACATTCATTTATTGACTAAAATATTGACAACCTATTTGTTCTACGAACACACGACTGCATATTTTAAATATATTACTTTAAAAAAATACTTGCAAACATCATTAATTGTTCCTCTCATTAAAATATATAATTAATTAATAACACTCAATATTTTAACCATTATTGGTGAATAAAAAGTAAATAATTGTAACTTATTTCATTATTTTTTCACTACCAATAAACTAGTTGAAATAAATTTCAATATTCGATATTTAAGAATTTTTTCCGTCGAACCACCTCTGTTTCATGGCCAGGATAAGTCTAAACCATACACTGAAAATCTCAGGTTTTCGATAAAATTTTGAATCTAATGTAAATCGTCCACTCTTTGAGAGTTTCGTCGTGAACTCATCACGATCAATTGAATTCATTGAATATTTTTTACGAAAGTCTACAAAAGTGTTTCGAAAGACTCTCTCTTCTGAAAGGTACAGTCATATAAAAAACCTCGGCATATAAATACTAATATAAATAATATACAATCTAGTGGGAAGTATAAATCATCATGAACAATATATGTACATATTCCAATCGAAAATGATAGCGACCGAGGGATTGCTACAAGAAATACATTTTACAAATCCTTTTAAGACCTTTCGTAAAACACAAATGAAGACATTTTCTTTGCGCCCTAAAGCGCGTATAAACTAATATCTTTTTCCTTCGTCATAGCTTTACATACAAGAAGGCCAACTGTTTCATAGGAAAAAGTAATCGTTGACTACCAATTATTCTACACGACACCTAAAATAGACATCCACCATCTTTTGACAGCGAGTTTAACCCTTTAACTCCCAAGATCTGATAGTTAATTCTCCCCTCTAGCTGCGATACCTTTCCCTGTAAATTGGTTACGAGAATTTGGTGTTAGCTCAAGATAACAATTTCTACCTGATAAGTTTGAATATTCTCATTACCTATCTGATGGATAATATATGGATAGTATAGGGAGAAGTAACATGTTAATCACTTCTGGAAAGGAAAGGTTAAAAATATTCGCAAGACAATTTTAAAAAGCGCGCGTATTTACAAGAAGTTGCTCGTAATAATTCCGCTAATACTCTGCTACCTTTGGCAACTTTTTACAGCACATGACGTCACAAATGGGAGAAGCTATGTCATCTGATTTCAAATACAATTTAAAATACAGCTAATGTATATATACATAATCAAATTTTGACATCAAACTGTCTTAGAAGGAGCGAGGGTCTTAAAACTTTCTCTCCAGATCTGAATGATCCAGGGCATCCTCGAAAACTTCTTCGTCTTCATCACTCTCCTCATCAGCTTCTCCAACAGTCGAGTCCTTAAACACAAGAAAGAGTGAAGAATTAACATTTCGTAACAGCGAGTGCTATTCTATGTTAACGAAAAGCTCAGACTTAAAACTTACATTGCTGCTTGATACAAGATTCTCCTGCACTGTATCAGGAGATAGGGCATTACAAGAAACCTCTGCAAGTTCGGCTGGCCTTGACATCAATTCTTTCACCATTGCTTTCAGCTGGCAATTTTCCTGATAGGAATATATCAATGATAATAGGAAATATAATAGGATTTAAGGACTTTTCACAGCATTTTTTACTGGAACAGTCAGTAACAAAGCAAACCTAAGAGAGAACAGCAAGAAATGTACGGAGTAATGAGGATCAAAATACAACAAAGAAAGCGCATAAAACAAAACACACAAAAACCGCTGACCAGCACCATGACTGAATGGTGTGTAACTTTCCACCTTATTGCTGGACGAAGACTAGAAGTATAGCAGCTGGAACGTCACGATCAACAATTGAATTGACTCTACAGTATTTATAATCAATTATGTGACCATTAACTGAAACTCCATATATGATGACCACCACAACCGTTTGTGAGTATTTATTGCCCAAAACTCATCTCACCTCAAACAGACATCTGCTGCGCTTCTCGGCTTCTATCCTTTTACGTTTTTCTCCGTCAAGTTCCTGTTGCAGTATTTTCACTTCATCTGTCATCCTCTGATCTAACAACCTGTCATTGTCAAGCCACAAACTCTCACGTTCCGCGTAAAGTTCACGTTGTGACTGTGCAACCACCTGGAAGGAATGTCGCAGTTGCTGAAATAAAACACGTTCTGTTGCATTGGGTCTACCAGCAAATAATAATCTACATTGATTATTCTAGTTTAAAAAAAACCTAACTGGGCAGTGCTATCAAATGCACCGCACAAGAAACACTAGCACTATATAATTATGTATCTACCATGCACTGGTAACTGTAATTCAACTGGCATTAAAATGTTTCTTTGCTTAAAACCAGTCCATTGTTCTAATCTTCTTTACATTAAAAGCCATCAAACAGCATGAAGAGCTGATCCCCTCTGCTACCCCTTGTCGTATTTCTACATGTAGCTGCTATGTAGCCTATGTATACAATTCATTCATGCCTCTATCTCTGTTAATTATGTTCAACAAGTAGGTGTGTCGATCCTTAAGAAATAACCAGACAACGTCTATTTGCCTTTAGTACATAAAGATTTATTAAATCTGCAACTTAATGCAAATTGCACATCAAACAATTAAAATCCTGACATTTCAACAAATGGCTAGATAAATCAGCACAATTACGTACTTCAGAAAGTTCTTGACGTTCCCTCGTTATACTCTCCATTTGCTGCTGAAAACTGTTATTTCTCCGGTCCAATTCATGAAGCACCTTAAGTAAAAATATAAACATCAGTCATTACATCTCCGCATACGACTTCAAAAAAAAGGGGACTGTAAGAAGCCAAAACTCCTTTCAAGAGCCACGCCCTAGATTTGTAATAACTACATCAAAATCTCAAATTACAGTCCTTACCTGAATATACTCCCCTCTAAGACTTTCATTTTGCTTATAGAAAAAAAAAAAGACAAAGTCAAATTCAAATTACATGTACTGGTAGGTGTAAATGACAGGCAAGCTCTAAATATTTGAGTGATAAATTAGTACAAGCCATGTAACAATACAACCCACTACTTTTATGGGAATTTACTTTTCAAAGTAACTTACCTGCAAAATTTTTCATTAACATTTTCACGTTCTGTCCCCTAACTGGGTAATTAACAATTTGACTCCGAAAAATAATTAACTTCTCCCCATAATATCCATAGATTATCCAGCAAATAGGTAATGGGAATACTCAAGCTTATCAGGTGGAATTTGATATCTTGATCTAACACCAAATTCTCATAACTAATTCACATGAAACAAGTAGTAGCTGGAGAGGAGAATTAACAATCAGATCTTGGGAGCTAAAGGGTTAAGGATTTACAAGTGGGGGCACTGAGGAACAAATTGCATGACGAGTGATTTGAGGCAACACTTACAGCAGGGTGATGTTAAGAGGAAGTTTAGCCCAGTTTGCTGATGATGTGCCACCCCATTCATAACATGAGAAACTTCCTAATAATTGCAAAATACTGTTTACTATAGTAATGACCAGAAAAAATTCTTCTGCAATGTTTGTATCTATCATCATCATTGAAAAGACATTCTACTTGTATCTAATTTGGAAAACTTACCGCTGAAAGTGTTTCAACATCCTGGTCTTTCTGTTCACACAACTAAAAAAAAAAGTATATTGCACAAATGAGAAGCATAGACATCTACCTTAATTGTGGGTGTGTGTATTCACTCATCACTGGATAAACTTTAATTTCATGATGGCCAGAGATAATTAATAATAAAAAGGGGGTGATGTAACACTTACCTGCCTGAGTTGCTGAATCTCCTGATCTTTCAGTTCACACATCTAAAAAGTTTAAGATTCAGTTTGATTCAAAAAATATCCTGTGAATGGCTATACTTTGGACACAACATCATAAGTTGATCAGCAATACTCCATTTTCATCAATAAATATAATCTGGCAGCAAGGGGGACAGAAATCACCACTACAGAGTACAAACCTCTTCAGTCATCCTTATCAGACGCTGATTTTCTTGTTGTAAATGATTGCTGCCATCCAAAAGTCTTTCATACTTTAAAAGCAAGAAGCAAGTAATAAAAATCAAAGATTAAAAAAAAAAAAAAAAGATACAGGGTAACTACTGGCTTCAGGACTCCAAGCTCAGCACTCAGATTTTATCACAAAAGAAAACTGTGGAGCACAAAATAATAGTGTTGTATGAAGAGAGAATGTTTCTCATACACCATCAACTCTAGACCTAATCACTGAATAAATAAAATAGACAATAAAATAAGCAACCACTGTGTCACATTTAATCAAAATTTTATTTTCCTGCCATGACTTCAGCTTGGCACTGCCCTAGCTTAGTTTCCCAACATGGAAAAAAAGGATATATTTTTTTTCAGGAAAACAAACTTTCATTTCAATATATCATAATTATAACTATTGCAGAAACAGCACCTAGCAAATTTACTATAAACAATACCTAAATTACCCGATTTTGTTTGTCTCAAAGGCAAGCCAGTCAATAGAATTCTGTTCACCTCTTTGCACATATATGCAATGTGCACCTATATAAAATATCTTCTGATTATGATATTAGCAAATTTGAAATGCTTGCATCACATTTTTTTTGTATGACCATGTTTTGTTCATAAATTCAGTAAGTCAAAAAGCATATGGTCTTACTTGCTTGTATATCAGTTAATATATAATTACATATGTAACGAAAATTTTTTATAACAGCACTTTGTCAAACTGTACCTCATCAATGGTTGCCTGAAGCTGAGCACACTGCTGTCTACAATACTAAAATTAAACAAAAAATATTATTACTGGTGTTATAGGTCTAAAATGTTCAGTCACAGGAGCTGTGGACCTTCGACCCTACATTTGTATGAATTATCTTCCAATAAATTTATCTAAGTATACAAAAAGGGCAACACTTCATATTGTATTCAGTTAATTTTAACCAAACAAAAGGGAAACATTTGTGTAGTAAGAGCAGTCTACTTAGACAGAAAACCATACAGCAAATGAGAATAAACAAACTGAAGAGGATGGTTAAGAAGATGAAAAGAGTTAATGACAAATTTCTGTAAGCTCAGAATCAAGATGCAATAGCTACAATATGTAGTTGAAAACCCTTATCATAAAGTATGTCTGACGCTAAGTGGCCACAACAACCTCAGTTTGACCCAGTTTCTACAACATGAATTGACTAACAGTATATATAAAAAGGCATTCATTTTCCCCTTCCTGCCAGGAATAATATAATATAAAAGTACAGAGTTCCCCTGAAGAACATATCACAATGAGCTGGCCTCAGGGCAATGAGAGGCACCTGGAACTCTTAACCCTGAGTAAAGTCTGGTGACTCATGTCACAATAGTTTACAGTTGTGTGCTTGGTTGCCAAGCCTTTGAACAGGATTGAGGCTAAGGTTGACCTTATTATTATAAACCTTGCTTTCAAATGCAAATTACTTTGTACTTTGTAATCATGCTAACTAGATACTGATCTCTATCACAACAAGGTCACCTTCAGCCTCACTTGAAATCAAAGGCTTGGCAACTAAGTACACAACTGTAAAATGGCCCATTGAAGTCTCCATATTCTGGCAACCAAGGACAAGGGAACAGCAGAGCATGGGAAGTACTTTTGATTATTAATTATAAATGTTCATTGTTTATACAACTTTGACTTTTCACTATTAAAACTAAGTCATACATAACATATTTAACAACTTACTACCAGAACACCAAGCACTGGCTGCCAAACTGGTAACTAAGGCTACAAACTGATCAAGTTGCCAAAAATTTCTCATGAATTTCTATGACAAGCAAAACTATCTCAGCTTGAAGTGCTCCAGTGGAGGTGTATTTTCCACAAAAAATATAAATGTTATTCTAAAACTTGAACACTATGGCTGGTTTTAACAACTGTACCTGTAGGTCTTGCTTGCATGCCTCAAGTTTTGTACACTTCTTCCGTAGTTTCTGTGAAAAAAAATTACAATCAAGCTCAATATTAGATATTCACTTTACCAATATTCCCCTGAGATATATGAAATAATTCACAAATCATGGGATGATAACAGGAAGTTGCAGCTATTTTGTTGGTTTTTGTTCTAAAGTCATGGAGTGAGGCTGAAGTTGACCACATTGTGATATAGACCAGTATCTTGTAGTAAGCATGATAACAAAGTAATTTACATTTGAAAAGTAGCAAGGTCTGTATCATAACAAGGTCACCCTTTGCCTCACTCCTGTTCAAAGGCTTAGCAACCAAGCATGCAACTGTGAAATGGAATATTGAGAAGGTAAGAAAAGATTGCTTGGCTAAAACTGATCAGGACTGTTAGAAAACATTCAGTACCTAGAGCAATCACACATAAATATATTACCAACTTAACAGTGTTCTTCATATGTATGCGTAATAAAGTAAGAAATGATAATTTACCTGAATCAGGTGTGCAATGTCTTCAAACTGTAAAGGGTAAACCTGTGTGTCAAAGGAAACATGGTACATAAAACATTAGGTACTTGTAATTAAGAACTTTTGAGATACAGTCAAACTTGTATCAAACAGTCATCCACATGGAATGGTAGATCGTGCAGAAAAAAAAATTGATTGTGCAGGTAAATTAAAAGCACAAATAACAAAGCTGATGACTTTCAATGAATAGCATGATAAGAAGACTAGTCCACAGGATCCCTTGTTGTCTTAACAACCTCCCAACAAGCTGCTTTTGTAAAGTAGAGATTTCTCCACTATTAAAAACCCTGAAAACAGTCTTAAAGGATTCTAGATATTTATATTTGCACTATACCAGTAATGCCAATCTGGCAAAATTGTGTGGTCCCACCCACATGCAACCTGTTAGAAGCTCTAGTTGCAGAGTTCAGATCCTGACTTATCTACAGATGTCAAAAAAATTTCTTAAGACATACATATGATAGTGAAGATACAAAGAAAAAAAAAGAAAGAAATGAAAAAATAAAAGAAAGAAACAAAAGGAAAAGAAAAAAAAAAATATCAGTTAGCTACTTCGCATCACAATACAAACCTGTTGAATATTCATGTGCTGAGTTTCATCATCATTTTCTGATGGTTGATTACCAAATGCTTGACCTGGGGCATCTGCTTGATCAGCCACTGGATTGTTTGCATCTATTAAGTGATGATCTGTAACCAGTGGTAATGGAGAATTTGCTGCTTGAGGCACAACTGGTTGTGCCCCTGCGGATGAGTCATGGGAAGACAAACTTGCATCTGTGTCACACTGTGACAATGAACTGCTGTTTTCCTCTTCATCTGTGTTGCATACATCCCAAGCCATACCCTGGTGCATTTGGCCTACAGGATCCTGCATGGCAGACCCTGTATGCACAGCTGATGACTGTTGAGAATCAACTGGCATTCCCCAGCCTGGTTCACCATGATTCACACCTGTATTTGCTTCAACAGTCAATAGGTTGTTTGAATGCAATTGGTAAAGTTGTGGGGAATTTTCTGCTTCAGGAGAAAATGTTCTTGATTGTGTCCTTGAGTCATCTGAAGACAAACTCCCATTTGGGTCACTCTGCACTTCTGCTTCGTCTTGGTCATATGTGTATTGGCCCACATGATCCTGCACTACAGACCTTGAAGGTACAGCTGGTAATCTAATAGCATTGGAAGCTACTAAAAATTGAGGGTCATAAGGCATTCCCCTGTTTCCAGGCAAAACTAGCCTGTCATGATTCACAGCAATTGCTTCACCAGTTATTACATTATTTGGATGTAATTGACCAAGTTGAGGAGAGTTTACTGCTTCAGGAGTAACTGGGCGTGATGGTGTGGTTGAGTCGCCTGAAGACAAACTAACCTCTGTGTCACTCTGTGATGATGAACTGCTGTCTTCTGTTTCATCTATGCCACATTTTTCTGATGGAGTGGCCTGCAGAAGATCTTGCCCATCATGGTCCTCAGCATTTTCTTGATCAATCATATGGTTGCTTGGTTGTAATCCCTGATTTTCTTCAAGTGGTGACTGGAAATTTGCTAAATCAGGAGAAACCATTCCAGGTCTTGTACCTCTACCATCAGAGTTTAGACTACAATCAAGTTGACTTGCAGTTGCTGAGCTACTCGCCTCAGGTAATGGTGGTGAAAACCCACCGCATAACAGACTGCTGTTTTCCAAGATCTTCTGCCCATCTCGAAAGACAACATTGGCTTGAACAGTTTTTGGATTGTTTGGGCGGAACTGATGCCCTGTAACCATACCTCGTGCAGCTACAACAAATGGATGTAGATGTTTTTCTCCATCACCTTTGACTTCCTTACTAGTGCTCTTCAAAATGTCAGTACTTGGTTTATCTTCCAGAGGAGGTGAAAAACTCACTCCTGAGCAAACAACTGGGGCAGTGCTTGTCTTCCAAGTGACCAATACATCATCTCCTGGCTTGGATGGCAATTCTAACAGAACAGAAGGAAAACAGTAAGAACACTTTATATTGCCAAGTATTGTATACATTAAGTTCTGTCATATTTCCTATTCTGAATCTAACACAACAACACCTTCCCCCCAAAGCAACAAATAATTATCTTAAAATGTTAAACTCAGAAAGTAACTAATGTTACTCTGAGCCTTCAGGGAAGTACTTTTGCTGAAGGAGGAAAAAGTCCTTGCTTGAAAACCAAAGCAAAGCTAGGAGCAAAAAAGTGCAAAACTTGTGAAATTTCTGATCAGAAATGAAAACAGTTTGCTATCACTAACAAGGGCTAATGGCTCACCCAACTACCAAAGATTGGCAAAGAATATGTTTATTTCCATCAGTTTAACCATACCTGACTACTCAAAATGAGCATGACTGTAGAGGCTAGCTGGAGAAAAACAGGATTTAGAAGCCTTTCCCCTTCACCCCAAGTTCCTCCTTGCTTATTGTGAAAGTTAGGAGTTCAGCAATATTATTATAGGCTGGGGGCCCAAAGTGTGAACCCAGTATTGACATAATTTTCTGAGAAGGTATGATGTGTTAAGAAGATGAAAACTTGAAAAAAATTTTTTATTAATTAACCAAATTCCTCCTCTACAAAAAATTCTCTTTAACTCCCATGAATTACCAAGACAGAATTTCTCCTTACAATTATAATACAGTATCAAGCAGAAAAATATAGGACATTGTCAGTTAGGGGATTATAAGTTGATCCAATACAAATTCTCCAGACTAACATCAAGAACTGTATGGCAGACAATAAGGAGATTTACTAATGAGATCTTGGGAGTTAAAGAGCCAATATCATAATGGCAACTGATAGAATTCGAGCAATTTTGGTGCTAAAAATCATGAATGAGCACAACATGATACTGGAACTTGAGAGATCTACTAAAAGAAAACCAGAAAGTATAAGAGAAAATCGTATCAGTTTTTATGAGACTGATCTTTTTTAACTGACTGGACTTCTTGGAAAGAACTGGTGTTCTCTCATTTTATTTAACCACTTCCCTAGCCTCAGGAAAGGAAAACTCAAACTAGCTACAATTTTCAAAGAATTCTGCATTTAAGAATGATTTTTAAATGGTTTGGGGTAAAAAAAACTTCATGGAACTTGATGGAAAAATCAAACCATACAGCCTTACTAATGGAAGCAGCAAACAAACGGTAGGTTCAAATGAGAATTTTTCATTTTACGTATGGCAAATGAAGAATGTGCATGGCTTTACAAAAACTGTCAATTATCATGTATCGTTACTTTTAACTAAACAACTTCAGGACATAATCCCAGAAAACTCACCAGTTTCAGGAAGAGTTGAAATTGAATGCCCATCAGCAGGATTGATATTCTGTTGTCTCGATTCTTCTGATTTCTTCGGAAGACTCTCTTCAGCCTTGCTACTGACATCGTTTGGAGGACAATTATCCAAACTTTTTGCAACATGCAATGAATCTTGTGCCAAAAGATTTTCAAATACTTCCAAACATCCAAGGCTCTGAAATATGGACCTCCATTTGTCCAGTGAAAGTTCTTGGCCATCTCCTTCAAAAGTGGCAACAACCTCACGGACTCCCTTGCATTGTGTTGTATTTATTCCTAATTCTTCACCAAGAACGTCCATAGAATCTTTGCGACTCTCTAAAAGACGCATGAAGCTTTCTCGCAAGGAAGGAGGGCTTGTGCTGCCTGATTCTAAAACAGAAATAAAGTACATTCAGAACATTTTGACAACTCTGTACTGTAAATTACATCCAAACAAATAGATCGGGGAAGACAGAGATAAACAATTAAACGGAGAAAAGTTTTACTGAGAACAAACAGAAAGATTACACTTATTAAATAAATAAATGAACTAGAAAGTTATATAGCAATACATTTAATATCATGAAAAATCCATAATCAATTTCACACTCACCACCAGACATGGTACTTTATATGTAATTCCTCGTCTTAAAATCGTATTCGAGAAATATCTGGAAAATAGGTCCATAAATTATTATCAGCTTTTGTGAGATTTATTGTTTCAAGTACATCTGAAGTAAGGTAACTGACTTAACACAGACGCGAGAATCATTACAACGTATCACACCAAAGATTAGCACTTAAAACATTCACACTTGATGAAAACAAGCTCACTCACTTAAGAATTCAACAATAGCGTTAATTGTATATACAATATTTTCATCTAAAAATTGGTCCCAAACTAACGACTTTTAACGCAGTAAAGCTGTTCCTATCAATTCTGAGCAGTGGTTGAATTAAATGCCTAAAAACTACGAAGAGGTTGACGTTTATTTAACGCGATTGATTTGAGTCGCACTGGGGATGCAGCTTGTACACGTCCAACTAAGCTAATACACACCTGTAATCAACACATTCCTCGTCTAACAGATTTCTTATATCACAGAGAAGGACTGAATGTATGGCTTTTTATTCGATATTAAGCTCAAGTCCCAACTGTGAAATCATCTTTATCTCTAAAATTCGAGTGAAGGCAAGTGACTCTAGAAGCCGTAAATTATCAAAGATGCGCACCAAAATATTGATCACTGTTGTCAACTATAAGGAACGCTTTGCAAATAAGCATGACCGAAGTATAGTATAGCTTAAAGAGAAAAATAGCCTTAAAATTGAAGACGATTACCTATTTTTACTGATCTTGAAAAAAATTCTGAAGCCCTACAAAAGTCAAACTTACAACCAGGGTATTCTAACTGCGACTTACTTCGCTCAAACGCACTCTCGATGCAATCCTACCAAGATCAAAACTCAAGTGATCTTCCTGACGTTGACTATGGAAGAAGGGAAACAAACAACGCTACCAACTGAGGTAGGTGCCTTAAGCACTCTCAATCCACACTTTCAAACATCAACTAGTGACAACTGTCGTCTCTGACGAAGTCGAAGCGTGAAATCCTCCGAAACGATATCTTCGGAATTCTTCCTCAGTTCGGACCGAGTAGGGGGGCCCAGAAGACTCGGGTCATCCGAAGGGCTATTCGGGTTTGGTTAAAATGGTCGTCAAGGGGACAAACCATTTGAGAGGGAGGTGGAGGTAGTGGTTTTCTGTCTGCATAATTTTTGTCCTTGTTTTCGCCGTTGCTGATGCTGTTTTTTTGTGGGCAAAGGCGTCGGCATGAATATTTTTTTTGGTGAACAAACATTTCCTACACTTTTTCACTATATGTCAGCCAACATGCAAGAAGATTAAATTTGCATGCTTTACATGTCTATTTATGTAGTAACATATGATTTTAATTGATGAGACAAGTTCACAAACAGTATGTTAAATTGTTCCTGTCTAATCTGCAATCATACTTAACAGTATGCACAGATAAAATGATACATAGCATCACTTCCAATTCAACAGCTTTTCCACAAAGAACACAACATAGAAGAGAGTTTCATGCATATCAAAAAATAGAAATAAAACATCACAAAAAATCAGACAAACAACTTTAAGGTTCACATAACATGAAAAGAAAAAAATCACAGTTAACAGGGTTTTAATTTCATATTTTCACATGTCGTGAAAATAAAAAATACCACATCACACCCAAAACCTCTTTCACTCCCTTGTGAAAGAGTTTTGTTGAACTGAGAATGTTAAAGATCTGAGTTAGTCACATATCTCATTTTCTATTTCTTCTGCTATGGAAGCTTGGCTCTTTGGCTCCCTGTTTTATCTTGATTATCTCTCTATATGCACATATTTTTTTCCAGCAGTCTGGTGTGCATGAATTTGTTTTTCCAATTAACTTTGCTTGCATTAACTTTTTTGTTCTTTCTCTCTCCCCCTCCCCTCCCCTTTACCTCACATCATATTTCTAATGGGCAATCATTAGAGAGAAAGTTTCTCCAGAAACCATACAACATTCATCTCCACTAGTAAACCTTTTTTTTCACTTGGATTTAAGCCCAGGTGCTTCACCCCTGGTCCATAAATCCAAGGATAAAAACCTGTTCAGTAACTTACATTATGGACCTCAAACTAAGCTATATGAGGTACCTATGTAATATTATTAGATTAAAAAGAGTACTCCAAATGATAAAAAAACTCCCTGCAGATGTGCTAAACATCAGCAATGTCTCTATGCTTAGCTCCTCCTCACTGAAAAGATTGTTTGAGATAGTAAGCAGACTGATATACAGCCTGGCAGTATTTAAAATGGCAGTCTCAAGATAAATTTTTAGATACATTTGAAGTCAATTTTCAAAAGGTTGGGATACTCACTCAAATTTTAACTTTCAATGGCAAAAATGACTGCCATATTATGATTTGCATAGCATATTTCTTCCATGCCAAAAAAATTGAAGAAGTCCCTGGATGATAATAACATGGTCAGATTGAAAAATTGTTACTAATAGCAACTATACTGCTTTCTCTGTGTCAATCAGTATAGAATAATAATCATATAATCCCATGATTTAAGCTCTTTCTATGATCTGAGCCTAAAGGTAATTCTTTACCATGGTCAAGTGACTTTTGTGGAAGGAGGTAGACTGGGAACTATCTGATAAATAACATCAGGATCACCTCAATATGCTGCTTAGAAACTTTGCAGATGTGTTAGGATCTCTTTCTCAGAAGTGTTAGCCTTGACTTTATCATCAAAAACTTGAAAAAGCTCATTGGAGTGGCTCCTTTCTCCTCCAACAGACAGACACAATCTAGGTTATCACAGGTTCTTCAGAAATACTCAATTTTTTTTCTTTTTCATCATAGAGTTCTTTATCCACATTGAGCACTTGCCTTCCTCTAAATAGTGTGATTGAGTTTTTTAATACGACATTCCATGTTAAAACATCAGGCCCTAATCATATTAATTTAGGACCTATAACATCTTTTTGGCATCATTATAGACATTCTCCTCAACATCAATGACATGTAAAAAAATTGTGATTTTCTGACTCAAGAAAAAGCGAAAAGAGAAGGCAATTAAAGATTGACTCTTTAATCTACAAGTTATATACAAGACTCAGGAGTCTAGGGAGAATGTCCTAAGAAGGGTGGTGACTATTTCATGATCAGTAGTGACATCACTATGGCAGAATTTAAAATGCCCATCTACAAATCCTGACTCAACCTTGAAATTCACTATTGGAGAATATACAAATATCTGTGCTAAAAGAAGAAAGTACAGTTAAGCAAGAAATGTGTACAACAGAAAAACTAATTTTTCAGTAATTTGATATTGAGATGCACTATGTTCAAGTTGGTCATCATTGTAAAATGTTTGAAATATTTCCTTTAATTTTTTCATGCATTCTTTTGGCCAGTTCCAACCCCTTGCTGAGACTTCCAGGGAAAACAAGGTCTGTACGCATTGCCAGTTCCTTTAGTTTATTGACAATGTTACCAGACTCCTTTGTTTCACAAAAGTACATATTTGCGTGTGGCTGGTAATGTGGTTCTGGTTCCTTGCGTCCATCATTTCCTTGAGAAATAATAACTTTCTTGTGAATAAATACTGCAGTATAACAATCGTCAATCTGTGCATGGGCACCAAACAGATCTTTTTCCTTGATGTAATAAATTAGAGCGACATCAGTTCTGTTTTTCAGACAAGTTTCTGACCAGTAGCATCCAGGTAGAGAGATTTTAGCGAATTTATCTATCAACTTACACTCTGTCTTTTCCACATTGTGACCTAGGTACATTGAACCTCCTGGCTTTAGTATGCGCAGTAATTCTCTCACGAGATTACACTGTATCTCCTTATCACCCAGCTGTCGTAATCCTCCATAGTTAATAACATGCGAAAATTGTGTTTTATCTCCGAGAAAGTTCAGTTTTCCATCAGAGCTAATGGTTCCGAAAGTGGCTGGAGTATCATTGAACAACCTTTTAGCATAATCCACGGCGTATTGATCTGCGTGGGCACCGCCGATGATGAGTTTCGGGTATTCCTTCCTCAGAAGAGTCAGCCATTCATTACATCCAGTATTGCTATCAAACACAGAGGTACCATCCTTTAAATTTAGTTGTTTAGCCAATTCAGGAATCCAGCTCTTTTCTACAGTAGTTTCATTGGCATGTTTTCTTCTACAGTGGATATCTTCCCAATTGTGCTTGAAAACAGTTTTCTGAAACCAATGATGAAAATGTTGTTTAGCTCTATCCATGATCCCTTTGCCACCAGAAGCTCGCAGGCTGAATTGTGCTAAGAGGAACATGAAAAGAACCAAAATGGTGGCAGACGCCATGAACACGATGCGGCCATAGCGAACATTGGTTATCCTCATGTTTGGGCCGCAGCAACGAATAAACATCACCCAAAATGAGAAGCGATCTCAAATAACGTCATGGGTTGCTTACGGTATCGAAATCAAAGAATATATATGAGATTTCACTAAAAATTATCGATAATTTTTTCACTCAGACACTCACATACACGTTGAGCAAGAAAGCGAGGCTGCGCTAGTAACCAGGACCCATCGGTTTTATAAAATAAAATATTTTGTTCTTGTCTGGTAGTTTGCCTTTCGAGGAACGATGACAAAGGACAACACTTTCCAATTTTTGGTAGGGAAAAAAATTTCAAGATTTTACACGGAAGAAACTCAAGAAAGACGATTTACATGTGTCTCTGATCTCGACGAGAGTGTTAGTACCGCGTCTACGACTCCTCTTGCGCGCGTGGCTCCTCGCTCGTGCGTGTCGCACCGTGCATCTCTCGCGCTGGCTGAAGATAGTCTCGCACTTCATTTCTTATTCATGGAACTCTGGGTTGTAAAGGAGGGATTCACATGTCAGCGTTTTGATAAAACTTAAGCCTGTCAACTGTACATCCCTGAGTGGTATTTTTTAAGGGGATACTTCAAGCAGGGAGGGGAGAGGGGTGTTATTTGATACCTTCACTAACAATCCACGATCTGGCAAAGAGTTTGGAGTAAGTTGCATCATCCATTACAAACTTAACCCTTTACGCCCTAAAATCCAAGAGGATATAAGCTCCTAATATTATCTTGCCAATATTAGCATGCATATTCTCCATACCGTTCCTCATACATTTGTTAAGGTGCTGATAAGGAGAATTTGTCTGACAGCGTCTTGGGTTCGCGATCATGCTCTTGATTCGAGGGCGATACTGTAGCGAGCAATAAGATGTTGATCACTCTTAGGGTTGAAAGGGATCAAGCGTTGAATGGATCAACATTAGTGTCTGGGCAACTGCCAACCTACCCCTCCCCTAACCCAACAACAGTCTATTGATAACAAATCATGGTTAATGTTGGGTTAGGGGAGGGGTAGGTGGGCAGTTGCCCAGATACTGATATTGATCCCGTTGAATACAACAGTCGACCAGGCACGTGACGGACAATGACAATTGAACTCAGTCTTTCATGCTCTAAGTGTATGTTGGCCCAGATTTTGAATTCAGTCACGGCCATTTTGCAAATACGTACAAACTTGCTACTTTAGTCATAAACAGTTTTTTTGTTTTTCTTTTCGTTTGTGGCCACTTTTCACACATAGTTTTCACTGTGCTATAACTTTGCTATATCACTGTTATGTAAATGGTCTCAAATAAGAAAGTGTTAGTTTTGAACAATAATTCTGCATAAAGCTATTTAGAAGTCGATATACCTCACTTCCGACAAACAAAGACCCTCTTGTTGACAGAGTTTTACTGATTGTCATAACTTGCGACCAAAATAACTGGAGTGTAATGAATCTCATTTACTAGATCGGAATCCTAAGTATTTTGTTGTCTCAAGTTTCTAAGTATTTCTTTCTGAGTACACCGTTTCGTCGAAGCGTTAACCGTCTGTTTGGTTTTATCAATGTATAGTTTGGACGCTCAATGTTTGCACAAGTTTTAAGCACCATTAAGTGTATTCTGAAGCCTTAAGTTAAATATGGCTAAAGCAACGCGACAAATGCGTCAAAATGAGGAACATTACGTTGCCAAGATGAACTTCCGAAGTGAGAAGATTCTACAAAGTCAAATTGAGCGCTTGAACAGAGAGAAATTACTGCAAGTGAAGAGTTTAAACGCTCAAATGAGGACATACGAGAGAAAATTACAGAAGATTAACGAAAGAGCTGCCGAGGTGGAAAAACTTTCGCAGAACATAGATCCGTCTCAGCGTCTTTCAACGAGAGACCACTTCAACAAACTGAGCAACGATGCCGTAAGGCAAAGACACTTTTCTACAGGTGTGGGTTATTCGTACATTGATCAGCTGTTAGGAGCATCAAAACCACTCGTCAATAGACCGATAAGATGGGGAATAAACCCATCTTTACCAAGTCTTGAACAACAAACTGCTAAACCGATTACTGTCGAGTCAGATACTGTCTTAGCGAAAGCATTTATGACGGAGATTAAAGGTCATCCTATTTATCTTCGACCGAGGGAAGCTGCGTACATGAAAAAACAAAAGTCGGTTCCATCTGCTTTAATTCTGCCTCCCCTTCCATTAAAACCCTGCGGGAAAGAGACTATGGAACAACAGTCAATAGAACAACGCAGAAAACCGCGAGATTACGAATTACAGGAGAAAGCTGAAAACATTGCTTCGCTTGATAATCAAGACGCAAATTCACAACTTTCTCCAATCCTTGAAAACGAAATTGAGGCAGATATTTCTGAAATGAAACGATGTGATAGTAAATTAGCTCCGGACGAAAATGAACCAATCGATCACATTTCCAATACTGAAGGAATGACGAAAGCAAAAGGATCCCTTGCAATGGAGAAACCTGAGATTGTTATAGAGAGCAACGAGGCTTTATCTTTGGATAAGGAAATAGCGAGCGATGTTAGCAGTTCATCTTCACTGCGTGGACATTTTATCACGGAATACGAATTCCCATCCCATCAAAGAGCTGATCATTTTACCAGAAGCACTGAGACGTTGAATGTTCAAACAGGTGAAATTACAAAACCTCACAACGAAAACGAACCAAGCTCTTTCAAGTACCAACTACACTCCCGCAGATTTTCATTATGAGCAACAACTTGTAACAAAGAAACACATTTTATGTGTAAGACTTCTAAAATTTTAATCGCTGTTTGAGAATCTATTAATTATTTTCTCCCATGACTTTCAAATGTTAAGTTTATAGCGAATTGTAGTAAGATATTTTCTACCACATCGTGAAAAAGTTACAAAACCGCGATGAATCCTTCCGTGGTCTCGGAAATAAAATAAACAAAAGACTCGAATCTTATATTGATAGCAATAGCTCAGTTATTTAATAATATAAAACACCTCAAAGATTTTTAGTCATGCAGAGGCAAAGTAAGTCAGCAGGTTTTCGCGCGTGGACTGGGCGCGCGTAAATCGATTTCATTCCACGTAGTGTCTCATTTTTTCTTGATCGGGTAGATCGATACTGATAGATGACGATCTCAGCGAGCAAGTATATGCTTATCTAATTTAAATAAAGACTCCACGCATGTGAGATTTCGCCGTGGTCTTCCTTGAACGCGACACGCGAGTATTGAAGGGTCGAACCAGGCGCGCTCGCGATCACGAGACTTATCTCGGGATCTTATGAATAAAACTTTGTTCTGGGAAAAAGAGGAGTGCTTGAGCACCCGTCAAAATCTGTAAAACTATTCTGTCATGTTCAAGGCCCTCAGTAACATACACGTACCACGCGAGTTGTCATGCAGGAGAGACACCTCACGAGCTGAACACACGCAAAAAGGGTGACAAGTTTCAGCGGATTCATTTCGCAAAATATGCCTCAATTATGAAATCCACGTGCGTATATTGAACCTGCCTTGACAATTATTATTTTCCCTTCGCATAGTAAACACCGCACTTAATTCCTCCACTGAAAAGCGATCGATTAAAAAAGCTGGCTATCCAGCCACCACCTAGTAAACATGAAGAATTCATCGTCTCAGTTTAAGCGAGCTAAATCTTTAAAAGATGGCGAAATGAACGGAGTGAATGGAGAGTCCCCTCTGCACAATTTCGTCAAAGCGAAGCAGAAGATAAACGCTATATTTGGGGACATCAAAGAGTATCTTGAAGACTGTAACAAATTCTTAGCTGATTTCAGAATAGCTGATGAAAATGAACACGACATCAAGAAGTTCTCAAGCGAGGTAAGATTATCGAATGTCGCGTTCAAGCTCCATGATATTGATGAGAATTGGTAAATTAAATATTGTTAAACCGGTGTTGATCATACAACCTTGTGGTTGTTTTTTAATGGTTTTTGATTTATTTTTCTATACTTCAAAGCTGCCTTGATTGATACATCGATCAAATACTTTCTTTAATTAACTTTGCTATGTTGTTTACAATTTGTAGATGTACAATCCAGGATTTTCATGGATTGTGCATTCAGATATATTGTACAATAACATTACATAATGTAGTTGTGTTCTTTACTTGTTTAACAATAATTCGGTTTGTTACGGACACTGGCTAAACTTCAGAATACCCCGCAACTTTGGTCCGCCTCACTACATGTGTCGGGAGGCTTTGAAGATCGAGGCATAACACAATAGACGCTATTCTTATTCAATGACATGTAAATGAGTTGCGGGGTATTCTGAAGTTGCTCCCGGACACTTTCTGTAGATTCATGCCAGTTTTTTTTTGTTTTCCCTAATTGTTTCTCCCAGTTAACACAAGACATATTGTCAAGACACCAATTTTGCAATCTTGGTAATGGGCACTATGAACGAAGTTCTGTGTACAACCCATGCATTTATTCATGGTACATCTCACTTAATGTACACTCTAGATACCTACACTGTCACTGTCAATTATTTTATAAAATTAACTCTCATTAAGTCAGAACTGATTACGGCATTTCTCTCACACAGGTGTCAGGCTTTCTGGCCCAGGTTTCAAGCATTTCAGAGGTTCTATTAAGGGATCAGATGAAGGTGGCATTCTTTGGACGAACCAGTAATGGAAAGAGCACTACAGTAAACGCCATGCTACAAGATAAGATCTTACCAATGGGTATTGGCCATACTACAAACTGTTTTCTCAGTGTACATGGTTCAGATTTACCGGATCCATATATCATGGTTCCAGAGAGTAATGACAAAAAGAATGTGAAGGTATGTCTTCTTAAATATTGTTGTAAGTTTCTCCTTTGTAATAATTATATGTATGACATTTTCTTGATAGAAAATTGTTGTAATTCTCCTTTTTAATAATTATATGTGCCAAGTTTTCTTGATTGAGCAACCAGTGCATTTATTTTAAAATCGGCCTGGTGAACATGGTGTTTATAAGCAACAGGACGGTGTTTTAATCATGTATGGGTGTGTCAACTTTTGATAATACCCATACTTCAAGAGCAAGAGGTAGTTGGTTAAGAAAGCATGATTTTTCTCTGTCAGACTGTCACTTAGTCTTAACAAGGATGTATATTTTTCTTACAAATATTTTATGCATAAGATATGATTTACTGTTTATGAATTGAGTTTGATTTTTATAGCCTTAAGACAAATAAAAGCTTAAACCTCAATAAAAAAAACTCCTACTGTTTAATTCTAAACTAGCAGTATTTCTCTGGTGTTCATATGGTTTTTAACAGTTAATGGAGGTTTGACATTTAATAGTCCATTTTACAGTTGTATGCTTGGTTGCCAAGCCTTTGAACAGGAGTGAGGCTAAGGGTGACCTTGTTATGACACAAACCTTGCTGCTTTTGAAATGCAAATTAATTTGTTATCATGCTAACTAGATTCTGGTCCCTAACACAACAAGGTCACCTTCAGCCTCACTCCAAATCAAAGGCTTGGCAACTAAGTACACAACTGTAAAATGGCCTATTGAGAAAATATCACAGATACCTTTTAAGTTAATTATCTTAAAGCAGAAAAATGCTTATAAAAAATATTAAATAATACTCCAGGTGATATATGTGCTATATAAGGTAATAAATAGTTAATATTGATAACTACATATTTTTCTTTTTTGTTATGGAAACAGTCACTAGGTCAACTTGCCCATGCCTTGTGTGAAGAAAAGCTTGATGCTAGTAGTCTTGTTCAAGTCTTCTGGCCAAAGTCCAGGTTTGATTTTGTTTTGTAATTATTATATCATTCACATCTACTCACAGGTAACTGATGTCCTGTCAGTCTAAGTGCATTTATTGTTAAACCTTGCAAACTTTATTTATTAGTTGTAAAAGTAGAATGTTGTGTCCTTTGTTGTACATGAATTTTTCTTTTCCTGGTTTATTCCAAAAAGGTTAAGTTTGTCAAATTTTTTTTGGTTACAGATTAATTCTGTTATTATGCATTACACTTATTATAAACAAGCTGATTAGTCACGAGCATTCAATTAAATATCATGTCAAGAAGTTGACATGATAACCCAATATCTGTAACAAACATTGCATTTGTCATTTTGAGTTCAAAGTCTGTCTAGTTTCCAAGCCCTTTCCCAAACTTTTGTGAACCCAAAGAGATGTGTCATTTTTTCCAGTTTGTTTTAAAACTGTGGGATAAAACAATTACTGAATTCAGTTTTTACATGATATCTTGAATTATTAAGCCTAGTGTCTAAATTTGTAATATGCCACAGCCTTCAGTTTCGACAGATAACTCAGAACTTCGTCTTGATTATTCAAGTTACTATGTTCAACTCCCTTCAGTAATTGTTTAATATACGTACAGTAAAGTATAAAGCTGTGCCATTAGTTTTTCATTGACTGTCTTGTAAACAAAGGAAATATATTTCTAGTGTTGAAAGATCTTGGATAGGCTGTCTCTTGTGTCCTAAAAAGATGAAAAAAAAAACTTTCCAAACACAGTACACATGTTCTAGATCATGCATTTCAAATTAGATCAGAGGGTTTGTATCATTACAAGAAAGCTTTACCTGTACATTGTTATCACTTGTGACAATCTCATTCTTGTTTAAAATGTATTTTTTTTAACTTCAGATGTAAAATGTTGTCAGAGGATGTTGTTTTGGTGGATAGGTAAGCAAAATAAAAGTGATGAAATTTACAGTATAATTAACCTTTTAAGCAGTTAGAATCCAATATTTCTCCTAACAATTTCAGCCCTGAATCACACATTATGATTATGAGAATAAAGGAAATGATCACCAACTAAAGAAGCTGTGGACTGTTAGGCAAAATTGTCTT